ATAAACAATTTATTTCTTAATTTTTTAATTTCAGAATATTGGAAAGAAGCACTATGAATTGGAAGCAGGGTGACTGGGGGAACACATCTACCTGTTTACTCCCCTCCCAGCATGATTTTCATTGAGATTTACTTCCACATGTGCACTTATATGTTGATCAATTTGTTCCAACTTGGTATTAAATACATACATTTGTTTCTCCATTCTTGTGATGTTTCACTTAGGAGAATGATTCCAGTTCCATCCAGGTTGTCACAAAAGATTGCCATTTTTTTAATGGCTAAGTAGTACTCCATGGTATGCAAATACCACATTTTATTAATCTATTCATGTATTAGTGTTTACTTGGATTATTTCTACATCTTTGCAATTGTGAATTTTTTAATTAAATCATAACTGTATACATTAATGCATTTATGGGATACAATGTGCTGATTTGATATACAATGTGGAATGCTTACATCAAATTGATTAACACATCTAATGTGCAGCTGTGAATTGTGCTGCTATAAACATTCAAGTGCAGGTGTCCTTTTTATAAAATGACCTTTTTTCCTTTGGGTTCTTGCCACCCAATGCAAATAAGAAATAACCTGAGTGGAAATGGTGAGAAATTAGAAATAAAGACATGTAAGAGATATAAATAGAATGGGATCAGGAAGGCTGATGCTGCTGGTGGCTACTTCCAGCCAACCAGCCAGCCCCAGACTATGGAATCAGCTTAATTTATAAAGTATCTTTAACAAGGTAAATCTCAACACCTTGGGTAAGGATTAACATTAAGGAGGAAAAGCTGTGTACTTGCTGCTAATAAGGAAAGTATGTATGAGCTACATGACTTCTGGCAGATGAAAAGAATGTTTGTTAAAGGAGGAGAAGTGTGTGTGTGTTGTGGGGGGGTGTCATTCCTTGAACACTACCCCAAGCTGTGAGAGGCCCTGCCACCTCATAGCCTGTTCCGCCACATTGGGTATCCCAGTGGGATTGCTGGATCTAATGATAAGTCTATTTTAAGTTCTTTGAAGTATCTTCCTACAATTTTCCATAGAAGGTTACTAGTTTGCAGTCCCACCAATAGTGTATAAGAGTTCCTTTCTCTCTACATCCATGCCAGCACTTGTTGTTTTGGGACTTTGTGATAAAAGCCCTGCAAATGGAAACCAAAAGAAAGCCAGTATAGCCATTCTCACATCAGATGATTTTGACTTCAAATCAACAGAAGGAAAGGAAAACAAAGGTGGTCACTACATAATGGTGGAGGGAACAATTCAACAAGAAGACTTAGTAATCCTAAATATTTATGCGCCTAACATAGGAGCATCCAGATTCATAAACCAAGTTATACTTGATTTAAACAAAATGATAAATAGCAGCACTATAGTTTCCAGAGACTCAACACCTCACTGAAAGAACAGGACAGGCCCTAAAAAGAAAATCAGCAAAGAAACAAAGGACTTAAATAGAACTCTAGAACAAATGGACCTAACATACCCCCAAACCATTAAATATGTGTTCTTCTTATTAGTTCATGGAAAATATTCTAAGATTGATTGCATCCTAGGCCACAAAACATGTCTCAACAAAGTTTTTAAAGTAGATGTTATACCATGTATCTTTTTAGACCACAGTGTAATAAAACTAGAAATCAATTCCAACGGAAACACTTATCCACAAAGTCATGGAAACTAAACAACATATTGTTGAGTGATCGTTGGGTCAATGAGAAGATAAAGATAGAAATCAAAAGGTTCTTTTCTATCTTTTAGATGTGAGCATTTACGGCTACACAAACTAGTTTTCCTCTACAGACCACTTTTGCTGTATCCCACAGATTTTGGTAACTTGTTTCCACATTTTCATTTGGTCTATGTCTTTGTCATATGCAGCCTCTAAAAATCTCTTTTCAGCTAGCTTTGTGGTTAGCTAATGTTTAGACAGAGATTTCCTTCAATGTTTTGAACTCATCAGTCTCTGGGCCTCCATACAGGCAGCTCTGCATGTGTGTGAAGCATACCTTGAATGCTCTGAAAGTTTCTAACTCTCACGTCTCACTTTCCATTTGTGCAGAGTCTCAAGGCCAGCCAGAGGTGAGATGTGATGCCCTTCTCCAGTCTTTTTGGGGCATGCACACAGCCATGCACATGCATGATTTTGAGGGGCCCAGGAATATGTCAGAGCTTTGCAAAACCCCTTATAGACATCTTCTTCCACAGATTTTCCCATTAAGTTTTCGGTCACTCTCTTGTTTACCTCACTGGTATTGCAGCTTTAGGCAACTGTGATATAAACACTTGCCACTGATTTTTTTTTTTTTCCCATAAACACTCTTGAGACAGGCCTACTGTCACTGAGTGACCTCTGAGTCAGGTCAAAGACAGGCACTGTCAGAGGGGCTTTTCCAGGGATCCTTCAGACAGTCAGGGAGTGACAGCACTTTGAAGATAGGGGCTCTGTGAGGAGCACCAACCCTGTGCTGCTCCCTTCAGTGGTTGCTAGGCTGCTGGTTTTCACAGCTCCTGTGTTTCAAGGCTGTTGTTTTTCAAGGCTACCAAGGATTTGGGGAGAGGAGGTTGGGAATGTTCAAGTTAAAATCCCACAAAGCTCACTGTTCCTACTAGGTTTCAGCTGTTTTTCTTGAATAAACACTCCTTGGATTGTTGTAAGCCTTTGGATAATTTCCAGAGTTCTAAAAAAGTTGATTTTGACGATTTTTGCCACTGATATCACTGTTCTTGTGGAGGAAAGAGTTTTCAAAGAGCCTTACACTATTATTTCTCTTTGTTTATTTTTGATTAGCATTATCCCTTAGGACAGACAAGGCTAGGAGCATATGAAAAGGCCTAGTGCCCAGGGAAGAGTGAACACAAGGTTGAGTTGGAATGGGGACTCCTCAGAAGGAATTGTAAACAAATTTTACCTGTTTACATTCCTTATTTAACTTTTTAACTGTGGCAGTGTAATAAATATCCATGGGAGTATCCCTAGGCGGAACCTATATTCTTTTTCTTTTATAAAGTGTTCTAAGAAGCTGTGCCACTTGGTTTTCCACCCCACAGCTGATGGGGGAGGGGCAGCGCATGTTAGAGGCAGATACACTCGGACAACTGGCAGTGGAAAAAAGACATAAGTGTAAAAAGGGAGACAAACACTCAGTGGGTGCCACTGTAGTGGGCAACAATGCTCACTTTGCAGAGGCAAGATCTGTGTCAAAATGAAAATATTAATTTGTGCTCGGTCGTCTTTGCTTTCCAAGATAGCAAAGAATCTAATATTATCTAATATTCTAATTAGATTAGATTCTATTTAGGTTAATAATATCTAATATTCTAGAAAGCTTTCTATCAAGAATCAATAAAACATTTAAAATATGATAGTTAAAGTCATAGACTTCATTTATCTGAAGCATTTATGGCCAAGAAATGCTATATATCCAAATGATATTGCTAATGGGACGTAGCTATTTCATTGCTAACAAATTCTGTTGAGGAAAAAGGTTCTATAATCATCCACCTAAATTCTTCTTCTTTTTTTTTTTAAATTTCAGATTAATATGAGGGTACAAATGATTTGGTTACACTGCATTTGTCAGGCCAAGTCCATGATGTAGTAGAGTCCTTCACCCAGAGGGTATGCTATATACCCTTATATCGTGCTCATTAGGTGAGAGCTTACCAGTCCCTGAGCCTCCTCCCCTCTGCCCTCTCCTATCCACCTAAATTTATCATGGTAGTTCCAACATCTTAGAAGCTGAGAATTTCAACAGTTTATTGTCTCCATATGAAGATACATGAACACAAAAATGATTAAGCTTCTCAAAAGTAGAAAGTCAAATCACATAATACTAATACTTTTTTGTACACTCCCTGTACTAAATCCTTTAATGTTATAAGTACCAATAGCAACTTATGTCTGCATAAAAAGGATGCATTGATTTGTTGTTGATGATATTGTTGTTAGTTTAATAGTTGCATAAAGTGCTAAGGACTTAATTAACCACTTCAGAATAAGCTCTCGCCACACTTGTGTGTTTTAAAGGGGCACCATAATGGTTGATCATCCATCATGCACACATGAAAGCATACAAAACACAGAACTGCAGACAGAGTCTCAGCAGAAGGAGTACAGCAGGAATCCTAATATGAATAGAGAGGTGTGGCTCAGAGGGACCATCTATTGAAAAATCCAGTCAAACATGGGTGCCATTAGCTGACATCATCAGAGCTAGTTTGATGAAAAGTCTCAGAGTTCAAGAAGCCACTTGTTGCAAAAGAAAGTAAAGCTGCAAAAGTTGACTGTTCCATGTGGCATAGATAAAAGTCCCACTGTTGAATGTCTGCATCATGTCATGCAAATTATTAAAAGTCTACATTACAGATGGTGGTCTGCAAAGTCTGAGAAGATTTAGGGTTCTTAAGTCCACCATCAAATCAAGGGCTGTTCTGTAGGGCTGAAGAACACATATGGACCAGCAGATTTTATAAAAAGTCATTCCAAGAAAAGAGAGGAGGGAATTCCTAGAGGATTTTCAGTTGGTTCTGAGTATTAAGTTGGGAATTACATTACAAGATACATAGTGACAGAATAATTATCTATGTTCTAGGGAGTGACTACTGTGTATTTACCACGTGAGGCATACACCATGAGTGTCACCAGGGTGACAATTTCCCACATTACAGCTGTTTTTTCCCCAGAACTTTTTTCAATATATTCTTTTATTCAAGGCCTGTATTATAAAGATAAAGAAAATATTTATGATGACTGGACTTTTAAATCCATTACTTGTCCTTTCTTAGAGAAAAGAATTGATATGCTGATGTTCTTGGATAAAGATGTGAATTCTGTCTAAGAATTTGACATATATAATATTTCTACAGATATTTCTATAAATTTCCTATAATTGTATTTTTGATAGTTTAATAAGGAAGTTATTAGAATACAAGCTATCTAGTACACAGGCAATTAGGCATTTTGATTAAAAGTGTGTCATTTCTTTACGGCAGTGTCCTGGCAGGTTACAACGGTACCATCTTTGCATATGGGCAAACTGGCAGTGGCAAGACATTTACCATCACAGGTGGAGCAGAGCGTTACAGTGACAGAGGCATTATCCCAAGGACATTGTCCTACGTTTTTGAGCAGTTACAAAAGGTATGAGACTCAATCCATTTGTATTTGATATATTTAGCAAAAATTTACTGTGGGCAGGAAATTTATCATGGCATTTTATTATATCATATCTAAATGAGAAAGTATCATTATATAATAACTCTGGCCTTTACATTTAAAGAAAGGTTGGGATTTTGCTGAAGAGGTGAAATTAAGAAGGTGCTTCTCATTAAAGGGCTGAAATTCAAACAAAGACTCATGGAGAGTTCTTTCTGATACATCCATGGAGGTCCAGATAGCAGATAACACCTTTTACTACCTAATATCTTATATTATCATTAAGAAACTGAGGGATGACCTTTTGCCAAAGCAGACCTTTATTTCAGCTGCTAAAGCACTGATAAGATAGTATGATTGTTACCTTGCACACTTTTTATAGACGCCCAGAGGAATTTTCTAGAGTACAAATCCATTAATTACATCTAATGTTACTATAAAGAGTTCTTTATGTATGTTTCGTTTATATATGTATATATGTATAATATATTGATTGAGTGCCTTCGAGTGCTGGTTGCTTTATCAGTGTTTGATGTAACATATAATGCAACTAACAAGGTAGGTATCCTCACTCCCATTTCATAGTTGGGAAAACTGACCTTCAGGTTAAAAACTTTTCTCTGGGTCCGTATATGTAACCTATCTGGAGTTGTATGCTGGGTTGGTTTGATCCAGACTCTGCTTTTTACTATTCCACACATACTGCCTCTACACCTCAGAGGCTTTATGGTGCTGGTTGTGTTTAAACAAATTCCCTATAATGAGTCACTTAATGTCTCTTGGTTTCAGTTTTTTCTTCTGTGAAAGCAGGGATTGAGTTGGACTAAAGGCTCTCTAGTATCCCTGCTAGTTCCAACAAATCCTTGGTTATATTAATTATGTAAAACAAATGTCCTAACTAGGTCAATGTAATAGTTACTCCAAAATTTCTTGACTGTATGCTGTTTATATTTTGAGTTGTAAAGATGAGAAGAAATTGCTGAGATCTGCATAATTTGAAATTCCCATCCATAAAGTAGTAATTATCCATTAGTTCAGCTCATCTCTCACTGGCTCAAATATGCCAACTTTTCATGCCAAAAAATTTGGAAGAGAAAGGCTTGAGTACAGTGTATATGTTGAATTGAAAGCCATTTTTTTCTGGTATTACCTATTTTGTTCCTACATTTCACAAACTAAGAATATAGGTTTTATTGCTAGGGCCTAAAATGTGGAAGCCTGTTGTCTTGGAAAGATCACTAGAGTCAGTGCAAGTTGACCTGGTTTACTTACAGCAGTGGCCTTGGGGCATTTACTTAATGTCTCAGTCTTAGGAAGTTATCATGAGAAGCAGAACATACTGTATCTAAAGATAGTGTCCATTTCTGGCACACATTATATGCTCGATTCATGATAGCTATTACCACAGCCATTAAGCCATGCCTATGCATGGGGACAAATTATCCCGATCTCTTTTAGAGAACCCTTGGAACCTCTCAGAACAAATGAAGCCAATTACTCTGATTAGATTAAACAGAATTTTAAAAATCCTCTCCTGATGGGAAATACATTTTGCCCTTTTAAAAAGTTCATGAATAGTTAGTTACTAAAAACACAGCTCTACATGTCTAAATGTGTCCCAAGTACTTACCATGTGTTAGGTTCACTGTTTTGGATTTGTCATTGATACTACTCTAAACCCCATTTCATTCTGAATAATCATGAATAACTTACTGCACTTGTAGAGAGCCTATTGGACCTATTTATACCAAGGCAACTCTTTGTAAAAGGACAGATTTCCACGATGGGGAACAACACATTTATTATAATCTAACTGAGCTGTGTATGGGAAGTCAGGCAACTTGAATGTATCATGGAGTTCATTCACATTATATAGCTGAAAAAATGCAGACTGGTACTTAGAGGTCCCCAGGTGACTACCGCAGAGGGCCACATGGAGCTCTCTAGAATTTCTAAAGGAAACACTTATGCAGAGTCTTTATTTTAAGATAAAGTAAGAACCCAGTGCATGCTAGGTTCTAAAATGCCTGTGAGTATGATAGGAGCACATTTTCACTGATTTTAAAAGAAGAAAATTGATTCCATTTATTTTAGAAATCCCTGCTCATTATTTTTGAGTATTGTGAGGTTCAAACTTGTTTTGGGGCAGGAGAAAAGACTGTCTGCAGGAAACATGTGTGTTACATTACTGTCTGGCAATCCCAAACACTAAAACAGAGTAATACGGAAAGGTAGCTTGCCACATAGCTCAGTGAATTTTAAGTGTGTACTCCAATAAAAGTCCAGAAAATGCAGAAGCTGGATGAGCCAAAGGCATTATCCCTATCATCTCAGGGCAGTGGGCCTGCTGTTTTCCTGACTTTTTATGACTTGTTCTAATTTCTGGAAGAAGAGAATTTCTCCATGGCAGACAAACATATAGTTGGACGTCCTTTTTTCTTTCTTTTTCTTTTCCTTTTATATTCACATACTGACTTCTCCATCTGAAGGCTTTAGAAGTAATAATAAAAATAATAATAATAGCAATAATAATAGCAACAGCAACAACAGTGATTCATTGATGCTTGTCATGGGCCACATATTTTTGTTAAGCTTTTAAATGTAGAACCTTATTTCTTTGTTGTCCCAGTTATGCAAGATCAGGGTTATTTCCCCTGGGTGAAACAACTGAGGTGAAGATGTAGGATCACTCACTTATAAATGGTGGACCAGTATGTCTGATGCTGAGAAAACCTCAGAACTGTGTGTTAAAATTTCAAACTATAATCTATAGGATATTTCAGATATGTTCAGGTGAATTTTAAAAATATGTTGATTTAAACAGGATCTCAGAATTTTGCTGATGTAACCCCCCAGGGCCTTTATCATGCTTTGAGAATCTTTCAAAGAGGGATAGAGAGTGTACGTTGACCATGGAACACTTTCTCCTAGGAGTATTTTATGGAATATTTTAGAAACACTGGATTAGACTAATGGCCGTACAGAGCCTGTCAAGGGTTTATGCTCTCTGATACCTGTGCTACCAAGCTATAGCCTAAAGGATTATGATGAAATGATAAGACTAGGACATTAATGTGATCAATGGGCTATTCATCAGGATAATCATTCACAGAATTTCTAGCATTTGGTTGAGAGAAATTTGTTTAGTAATTCAGTCCATGTTGTGATCTTCACAGAATACCAGAAAACAAATTTTAGCTGGAGCATGTTTTTATTATAGTCGTGTGCTGGCTGAGAGATGCCTTAATTGTTCACGTATTATTTTGTTTATATGACGTGCTAATATCTTTATTTGGATAGTTTGAGCCATTTTATCAAACCAAAGAATCATTAATTTTAAACTGAAGAACATGTATGGTGGCTCGGCGCCTGTGGCTCAAGTGGCTAAGGC